GCAGAAATTTAAGATTAAACTAAATGTATCCCATTACCTCTGAAATGTCGACAGAATTATTTGCTAGCGCTTCTGTTTACAATTAAAGTCTGAGCGTAACTTTCAAAACAACATTTAAATAATTAAAAAACAGCTTATCCCATTGAATTATAATAGTTTCTACTTGCATTGTAAAAATAAATAGATATTTACTGTGGCCCCAAAATATCGGCAGATGTTCTGTATTCTCTGGCTAAACAGCAGTTTCTACTGACTACTATACGTACTGCTTGACTTTAGTCTTTCCTCAACTGTGCCCTTTATTTCGTCGGGAAGGTTTATATACTTTTATACAAACTATTTAAAATAAAAAAAAATGTTGCGTCCATTTAAAGTTAGATCCATTAATTGTTTAGAAAATACTTTGATAAAAAAAAATGAGCCTTTGTGAAAAATCTCAATGAAGAGATGTGCATTCCTCAAAATGGAAAACAGAATCTTACTGGGCTCTGGTGTTCTCTTTCGCTGAGGCAGCACATCTTCTTTATTAAGATTTCTTGAATGAGCAGGACGAAAGCCATCAGAAAATAAAAACGGGTCATCTATTTCAAATTGACTTCCAATAAAAATAATGGTTGAACTAGTAAAAAATGTCGCATTAAAATGAATCTATTAGTTTTTTAAAACACACACACATTCACACACACACACACACACGCACGCACGCACACGCACACACAAATATATATATATCCAAATGAAATGAGAACGAAAAGAATATAAAGTCAAAAGTTCATAACATTTATTTAAAAGAGGGCTCAATACAAAATTCAGAACAATAGTTATTTATTATAAATTGTTACATTCGAACATACACGTAATGAATACTTTGTATGTTCGTACGTAATAAGTATATATATATATATATATATATATATATATATATATATATATATATATAAAAAAAAGAAAACAGACCACTTTAAAAGGTACCATTATAATAATTTATTTCACCAGAGTCTTTTTAAAAGGACGCCGGATCATCAGATAGCACTTCCAAAAATGAAATGAAACGAAAAATGAAATTAAAATTGATGGGTAGTGTAAGTTTTTGTGATTTAACAGAGGGTGTAAGAGGGATAGTTAAAGAGACATGATAGAGTATAGGGAGGGATTAATTTAATATCTCTCTCAAGTATACTTTATATTGGGGGAGGAGGAGTGACCAGACCTTGACCTATTTAGACGGTTAACTTAACGGAAGTGATATATAGAAATGGGAGGGGCGTAGGGAGAAAAGAAAAAGGAAAAGAAAGAAGAGGGAGAGGGAAGTAAAGAGAAAGAGGCTGTAACTGGGTTTTAGCAATTTATGTAAATAGATTTTAATGCTCGATAGAAATTTAGATGTCTAAAAAAATTTGATGTTTCCTATCAATTTAAATATTTAATTTTTTTAAACAAATAGTTTAGGGACTTAATATAAGTTAAATACTATATTTATTAACACATTTATAGAGAACATATTAAAAAATTAAAAACATTATTTTAAATTATAATAGTTTGTTTACCCGACCAATCGTACTTCTTTAATATATATATATATATATATATATATATATATATACGCCTCCACTCGTAGGTTGAGCACTTTGGAAGAAAGGGAATTTGTCGGCTGCTGCTATTTAACGCTAATAGCACTTCACTATGAATTTTGAACTTTGAGAGCTAGCAGTGCTTACATATTGTAGATAATGCGTTAAAAATTCCCTTTCTTCGTTGCGTGCGCTGATAGCCTAAAGGTGAGAGAAATCTTACAGAGGTCAAATGAATAGTGTTTCGTCCCGGCTTGAAGCAATCGCCCGTCTATTCACACGGATGAGCTGTGATACAGCGAAAAACGTGTCTAAGGATCCATATATATATATATATATATATATATATATATATATATATATATATATATATTGGCAAATTGTCCATATCGTAACACCATAATTGGCAATCCCACAAAATGTATAATATTTAAAATCCACTAAAACAATTGAGTTTCTTTTTTCCAGGTTTTCAGTGAGACGTTTAGCCATCTTGGCCCCATTTGTCGTAAGAATCACTGTGAAATGCTTTGAGTTATTCAAAGTACGATAAAATTGTTTTTTGTCTGCTCCACTGTCTTCCCAAGTGAGCAAGTGATAATTCAGGCTTTCAGTAATGGTACCAATGTTCAAACTCTGGCTTCCATCTTCAAATCCATTCAAGAACCACCCAGAAAACGGGGAATAAATTTAACAAGGAGGGAACAGTAGAGAGAAAAACTGGATCAGGTGATCAAAGCAGGAAGCGGGATCATCATCCCATCTCAGAGCTAAATATATCAGTCATAAAGATCCAATTCTGTACATAAGGCATTTGGCACGTGAGAGATCAGTGTCAGCTATGCCAATCCAAAGAGCAGTGAAAAAAAAAAAGACTTGAAAAAGAAATCGTACGTGAAACGTGTGAAACACCTTGTTACACAAGGACAGAAAGTTAGAAGGTTAGTGAGGGCGAAGATCATCTTGAATAAATTAATAAATGATCCTAAAATATCGATTTCATCACGAGTCTTCTGTTAAGCTTGCAGAGTAATTATACATTCTTATCCTTCAACGTAGAGTCGAATAGCGTTATAAAAATCTCGGACAATTCTAGTAAGATATCTTTAATCACTTCTAAGATAAAACGGTTCAAATCTTAATCTAACAATAGGACAATTTCGTTGTTACACGATTTGAACAATTTTGCTGTTACACTCGGTATATATATATATATATATATATATATATATATATATATATATATATATATAAACTCCGGCTGATTGGCATTTGTTTACATTCATAAAAACAATATGCTAGATTTAGTTGTTTCTCTCTGTCGAATGAAGATAGCTCAGTGGTAGAAACTCTGACTGATCGGTTCGATTTCGATCCAGGCTTGAAGTATTCGGATGTCTAGTCGTACTGAGGAGCTCTGATACAGCGAAACAGTACTGTCTGATTGATATATATATATATATATATATATATATATATATATATATATATATATATATATATATATATATATTGCCCTTTTTTTCTCTTTTATTTTTGTCGTCTAATTCCTTTTCTCTCTCTTCGATTATAACTATTTTACCCTTTCTCTTTTCTATTTGATCTCATTTTAAAAAAATGTTTTTCTCTTTTAAGTTAAACTCTCTTCTATTGTATTCTTTTTTTTCTTCCCCGTTAATATTTTCTCTCTTTCTTTAACATTTTGTTTCTTTTTCCTTTCTTTCACTCTTAAAATAGCGTCATTTTCTTTTCCTTTTTTATTCGCTTCACCTTCTTAAAATGTACTATAATTTTCTTCTTTTTCGATTCTTAATATACAGTAGCGTCCAAAACTAAGGGACAAAATTTTAAAACCTAATATTTGTTAGAAATAACAACTGAAAAAGCTGAAATTTTGACAACTGGTAGTCGTTATCATCATCCAATAACATACTAAAATTTGAATCATTTGCAAAGGATAGAAAAAGAATTATAACAATTATTTATTTATTTTCAAATTTGGAACGTCCAAAAGTAAGGGACAAAATTGAGAAAAACAATGTAAATGGCAAAAAACAATAAAATACATGTACAATCAATATTTAGTAAATGAGCCCTTGCTCTCAATGACAGCTGCACATCTTCGACTACAAGAACGAATCAGTTCTTGACAATCCTCGATACTAATTTTAGACCATTCTTCTTGAAGCTTCACCCACAAATCCTCCGTGTTAGTGGGTTTTCTTTCCATAACTTTCACTCCTAAGGTCTTCCAAATATTTTCTATTGGATTTAAGTCAGGACTTTGCGGTGGCCAATCCATAATTTTCAAATCTTGCTCCTAAAGGCAACTCATTACCACCTTTGCCTTGTGACATGGGGCATTATCTTGCATAAAGGTAGCCCTATCGAAACCTGAATTCTGTATGATTGGCAACATGATCTTGAACAATGTTTTTATAGATCTGCGCGTTTACACGAGTTTGTAACCGGACAAGAGGCGTTGTATCTTGGCTGAAAACATTCAAATACCATGACGCTTCCACCCCCAAACTTGACAGTTTTTTAGTACACTTTGCACTTAATCTTTTCCAATACGTCTTTTTACATTTTTTTCCATCATTTCCAAGTAAATTAAACTTGCTTTCATCACTGAAAATACTTTTGCCCAATTTTCCATATGTCAAATTACATACCTGTTTGCAAACTCTAATCTCTTCTTCTTATTCTTCGAACTAACAAGTGGTTTCTTCCCTGGGGTTCGATTAAACAGCCCTATTTCTTGCAGTCGTTCAGAAACAGTCTGTCTTGACACATTAACACATGAGGTACTATTCATAACCCTTTTAATTTCTGTGCAAGACTTAAAACGGTCCTTTAATGACATGCTGCATTATTCAATCTTCTCTTGCCGAAGTTTTGCAGGGTCTGCGGTTTTAAAATCACTAATTATTTTGCCAGTATCATTGTAGGATTTAACAACCCTGCCTACAACACTCTTGGAACGTTTTCACTTTCTCTGAAATCTCTCTAATGGTGTGCTTTTCCTTGTAGCTTCACAATAGCTTGTCTCACAGAGTAATCAAGTTTTTGGCGTTTTGCCATGGTGCCGGCTGATGCAACGTTTACAAATGACTAAGTAAGACTTATTCTTTAGAGGAAATCAAAAATTTGAATATAGCATACTGTTTACATTGTTTTTTCTCAATTTTGTCCCTTACTTTTTTGGACGATCCTTTTTTGAAAATAAATAAATAATTGTTATAATTCTTTTCTATCCTTTACAAATGATTCAAATTTTAGTATGTTATTATGGATGATAACGACTACCAGTTGTCAAAATTTCAGCTTTTCACAGTTGTTATTTCTAACAAATATTAGGTTTTAAAATTTTGTCCCTTAGTTTTGGACGCTACTGTATTGTCTTTTCGTTTCTGTTTTTGACTCTCAATGTTTTTCCTTTCTTTTTCTCATTTTGTGCTTTCTCTTTCTTCTTTTCATATTTTTTCATTTTCTGTCTATCTTTTTTCTTTTCTATCTCTTTTAATATTATCACTCGTCTATTTTTCTCATTGTTCGTTTTTTCCCTTCCTTAATATTTCCTCGCTTTTTTCTATTTTTCCTTTTCCTTCACTTAATATTTTCTCTCTTTCTTTTTCTCTTTTTTTTCTATTCCCTTTCTTGAGATTTTCTCTTTTTCTTTTTTCCTTTGGTTTTTCTCTCTATCTTTTTCTCTCTTTTTTCGTTCCCCTCTCTTAATATTTTCTTCCTTTCTTTTTCTCTTTTTCGTTTCCCTCTCTTAATATTTTTCTCTTTCTCGTTTTCTTCAGACTTCCTCTTTTTCCCTTTTTCCTTTTCCTTTTCTTAATATTTTCGCTCTTTCATCTTTTTCTTTTTCCTTTATATTTTCTCTCTTTCTTTTTCTCTTATTTCTTTTCCCTCTCTTAATATTTTATCTCTCTCTTTTCGCCTTTTTCCTTTATATTTTCTTCCATTTTTTGTACCTTTTCCCTCTATTAATATTTTCTCTTTCTTTTTCTTTTATTCCTTTTCCCTCTATTAATATTTTCTCTCTTTCTTTTTCTCTTTTCCTTTTCACCCTCTTTATATTTTCTCACCTTCTTTTTTCTCTTTTTCCTTTATCTTTTCTTTCTTTCTTTTTCTCTTTATTTTTCTCTATTTCCTTCATATTTTCTCTCTTTCCTTTTCACTCCTTCCATTTCCATCTCTTAATATTTTCCCTTTTTCTCTTTTTTCTTTTCCCCCTCTTATTACTTCTCACTTTCTTTTTCACTTTTCTTTTTTTTCTTTCATAATATGTTATCTTCTCTTTACTGGTTTTTGCTCCGTAATTTTTTCTCTTTCTTTTTCTTTCTTCTGTTAATTTTTTCTATCTTTCCTCCCCACCCCCATTCTTTGTACCCTTAATATAATGGTTCTCTATGTCTTCCCCTCATAGCAAAACGTATATAATTTTATTTATTTATTTTTTACCACTGTCGACCTTTCTATTTCTTGGGCCATATTCCCCACTACAACGACTACTGTTGTACCCTGTTCTTTTCTTTTTGGCTCTTATGATATGTAACAAATCATTGCCGCCATAACTGCTAATAGCAATAACCACATTGAGAGGAAATAAAGACACTCAAAGTGAATACAAATAAAGAAAAAAAAACCTCTCTAAAAAGACAATAAAAACACTGATAATCATAACCATTTGGATAAAAAAAAATATCTATAAAAATTCGTCATAAACAGTTAACACAATGAAAAGTACAGCTTTAAGCCCACCAAGTTTTACTTTTTTTTCCCCACTCTTGGTGTTCTTGTATTCAAAATGCATTTTAGAGGGATTTTACTTGTCAAATTGAGACGTGCATTATTACTGCTGCTAAGAAACGTTCACTCAAATTGAACTATTCTTTCTTTTTTTTCTTTTTGGAAGCCTTTCCTATATAGTCGTTTGTTATTCTCATCAATACAGAATTTTCTTCGGACAGATTTACCTCCCTTGTCTACCACACTTCCGGTAATATAAAAAAAAAGGAGGTAAAAAAATGACTGCCTCAAAAGACCACTTTGAATTTGAGCTTCATATAATTCCTTTTATTTGATTTCGTCCTCTTTTTATGCATATATATATATATATATATATATATATATATATATATATATATATAGGTATGTATTTGCCCGATAAAAGATTTATTGGAAGATATTCACACATTACTTTTGTAGTGTGACTCATGAATATGAGCTGAATAAGTAATGTAGGGAACTGAAAAAATAGAATTATAGCATGAGAGAAAATGATTGGTAAAATATATATATATATATATATATATATATATATATATATATAGAAAGAGGAAAATATATATATGCATATATACATATATATATATATATATATATATATATATATATATATGATATATAAGCTAGTTATCAAATATTTATACGCCAACATGAAATTATTGCAGGAAAAAATCGAAAGCCTATCTATCTGCGTTATATTGACGAAGGTTTCCTTTCTCTCTGCTTTCTCTCTCTCCTCTCTCTCTCCAAACGAATATGTATATATATATATATATATATATATATATATATATATAGATAGATAGATAGATAGATAGATATATAATTAGTGGTAAATACACATACATATGCAAAATATGTAAATATATATATACATAGGTGCATACACATACATGTATATTTTATGAATAAAAAATTCCAAGAGGATAGAATCCAGGTAGAACTCAATGTCCTGGACAGAGTAATGGAATATTAGTGTTTAAGTCTTTTATTATATATACATACATACATATATATATATATATATATATATATATATATATATATATATATATATATATATATATATATATATGTGTGTGTGTGTGTGTGTGTGTGTTGGGTACAGACCGAATCGTAAAAGCAATGAATAGAGATATGTGAAAGATAGAGAGGATAAAGAGGAAGACACAAATATCAATATAAGAGAGAAGTTCTTTGGACACACCAATTTAGACTGTATGTACTATGTGGGCGTATGTAATTATATATGTGTGCGTGAGATGAAAGACAGTTACACACACACAAGCAGATACACAAACACGCTCGTGCATGCTCATACACCTAAATGCTCGCGCGCACCCCATACACACACACACACACACACACACACACACACACACACACACACACACACATATATATATATGGGTGCGTCATAGTAATTTTTCGAAATTAGGAGACGTCATTTGTGACGATGCCTTAAAGCTGGGAGTCCGACTACATAAGAGATTGTTAGATCTTCTTAAGAAAAAGTTTTTGTCCAAGGAAATTTACAATTATATTAGTCCGGTGGGTTTCCAACGTCCTCGGATGTATGGGTTACCAAAAGTCCATAAAGAGGCGTTCCGCTGAGGCCTATTTTGTACATGGTTGGCTCTTCCCAGCATGGTTTGGTTAAGTGGTTTATTGATCCGGTTTTTGTATTCTATACGGAGTATTGTGTAACTGACTCGTTTCATTTTGCTGCCTATATGCGTAAATTGCAATCTAATCCCGACACTGAGTATTCTCTGTCGTTTGATATATCTAATTTGTTCAAAAAATGTCCCGCTTGATAAAACAATCGATATTTGTGCTGACTTCTTGTATCGTGTCCTCGCAAAGACTCCATCATTTCTTGAAGTTGTCTTTGTTGTGTTGATGGAGAAGGCTACTAAGTCTGTCTCCTTCAGCTTCGAGAGTTTTGTGTATCAACAGATAGATGGACTGGCGATGGGTAGTCCACTGGGACCTATGATATCTAACATTTTTGTTGGTTTACATGAGAAACAACTTTTGATAGGATTGCCAAGCCTTACTAATAGTTTCGCTATGCCGACGATACGTTTACGTCGTTTTCTTCTCGTAGTAGAGCGGAAGATTTCTTTTCATATCTTAATAATCTCCACCTCTCTTTGAAATATACTATGGAGGTAGAAAAGAAGAATCAGTTACCTTTCCTGGATGTGTTGGTAGAAAGAACACCTTCGGTTTTCTTAATAGTGTTTATCGTAAACCCACTTTTTCTGGGCTTTACCTTACTTGGGAATCATTTGCTCCCAGAACCAGGGAAATTAATCTTATCAATACCCTTACTGCTTTGATGTTGTACTCTGAGTGCAGGCTTGGCGCCGAGTTAAGCAAAATTAAACAGCTGTTTTTGAAAAATGGTTACCCCGAATGTGATATCACGGATACCATTGAGCGTAAAATTGTTAAGTTCAACGGAGTTAAGTTATATTGTCTTCCTAAATGTCCGTGGATTGTTCCACGAAGTCAAATATACGCCGATAAAGTATCCTCTTCCATCAAACGGGGTTTCAACGCCGTAAATGTCCGGAGAATTTTTTCAACTGGAAGGCTTTCCCCTCGTGCCCGTAGAAAAGGATATCTTGCCTGTCCCGAACAAGATTCAATTTATATCAATATAAATATCGATGTGAGATCGACTAGAAGGCAAAACTATCCATAGCTTAGAGCTTAGCATCCAAAGCACATTCAGGCCAGTGCGTAGATATGAACCTGTAACATCCGGGCATTCACAGTCTCATAGCTCCGTTATTGTCAAGCATTGTTGAATTCTGTTGCTTGAAGGATGGACTATTCTCCTGAGTTTTTCTTTGTCTTGCACAGGTCACGGACCAGACTCGATTTAGACATCTTGGAGTCTGTTATTATTAATATACAATGTCCTGCCCTGTGCAGACAAAAAGAGTTAAAGTTGGTCATATTCGGGGAGTCAGTCGTTATTTCTATGCCTAACTAGGAAGATATATTTCTACTTCCATAGTCTTAGTAAATTATAGTTGTTTTTCTTAACATCAGTCGTTGATAATATTTTTTCTTGTCAACTGCTTGGTTTTATTTTGCCGACGATTATATTTATTCTGAAGAAGTGTTGGCCGAAAGGTGCCTAAAATGTTAATCATTGTGATACTATTGTATCCTGTTTAATTAATAAAATATGATCTTTTTCTAAAGACCCATATATATATATATATATATATATATATATATATATATATACAGTATAACTATCGGATATAAGAGACCCGGATATAAGAGAAACCCCGGATATGAGAGAAATTTTTCTCTGGTCCCAAATTAGAGCCTGTGTTAATGTGTATATAAATAGACCAAACGGATATAAGAGAATCCCCGGATATAAAAAGACTTCTTCTCGGTCCCGACAACTCTCTTATATCCGGGTTTACACTGTATATATATATATATATATATATATATATATATATATATATATGTATTTTCATGTATTATTTCCACCAGCAAGGCGATAATGACACTGAGACGCAAAATGGTTACTGGGAGTGAAATAGAATGAGAAGAAAGAATTCACTGGGGAGAAATGGAGAGACAGTTTTCGAAAAAAACTGGATTCAGGAGAATAGAATGAAATGTTTTTTTTTAAGATTGTATATAGCAGAAAAGCTAGAAACCTGAGGAAAGTTCCACATTGCACTGTGACAGCATTTATTAAGTTGATAGTTCAAATAACAGTGAAATTTGATAATGTCAATAATTAACTTCTGCATTATCGCAGTGAGTTTAAACAATGAATTAACCTTAGAAATGAAAATAAGACGACTTTGATTTTTAGTTTTAACGTGTGCTAAACCCATTTGTATTAAACTTGAGATTAATGCTTAAGATGTTAATTTTAAAAAAATATTTATTTTTAGTCATGTCAAAATTTTCAATTCGTTTTAACTTTTTTTTTTAATTGTCGCTGGATATCAGATAGTCTAAAAGAAACGAACTGTTCTTATATTGTTTCATTTTAAATTGTTTTAACTTTTAAAACACTTCATTGTTTAGAGGTGACACTAATACTTTCTTGCAAGTTTCATTTTCCAAATCCAGATGTCAAGGAGGTGCCATTGAGATTGTAATTATTTTTTATTCACATGTACAGCATTGAAAAAAGATGGCCAACAAACATACACGTCTTCTTGCTGGTAACATAATAATAATAATAATAATAATAATAATAATAATAGTAGTAGAAATAAAAATGATAAATAAAAATAGAAATAATAATGATAATACTAGAACTAATAATAATAATAGCAAAATAATAATAATAATAATAATAATAATAAAAATAAAATAATAATGATAAGAAATAATAACAGTAATAATAATAGTGTGAAATACTACTACTAATGAAATAATAATGATAATAATAATAATATTAATAATAATAATAATAATAATAATAATGAAATAACGATAT